GCTCCGTTTTTTTTTTGGGCGGTAACCATAATGGTGTCGAGTAGATCATGTTGTGCGGGGTCGAGAACCCGCTCCGCGCAAGGGGGATGATCGCACCACGTTGTGTAAAAATGGTCAAGCACCCTCAAAGCAGTTACACAGCAGTGCTTACAACTGTCTCTGGAAGTGAAAGCACCAGAAAATAAATTAAGTCATACGCAGCTGTCATCCGTACGCAAGGAAGTAAGCACAAGATGCCGAACACCCTTAGCAGGATGCAGCGCACNAAAAGAACAAGCACAAAAAAATATCGTCTGCGCTGTCATCAGCTGTCCGTGGCCTTGACCTTCGCCCTCCCGAAGTATTTAGTTGAAGATGTCTTGTCGCAAACGAGGTTTGCTAGACTGAAACGTAGTTGGGGAGTTTTTCGGCCCATGTTTTCTTGTGGGCTACTGTAGCTCTCGCAGCGTACATACACGCTGCCATCTGGAATAAAGCGCCCTGTTTCCATCCCGTTTTCTGTTCACGTCTTGTCTCGTGGCGCGTCTGGACCAAGTCTTGTGACAAAACGCCACACACACACACATAACTACCACGGCATTGTGTTCTCCATTTAACCCCCGACACCTTCCGCTTATCGTAGGAAGTTGTTTGCCGCATTTACCACATACGTGGAAGCCTAACCTTTATACCCTCGCCTTGTCTACCACCCTTCTTGCTACCTTGGAAAACAGTGCTGGCTTCATACACGACGCCATGTTACATGCGCTCTCCCGACTTTCCGCGTTCGTCGCCTATAGTCTAGTCTACCCGTGGGTGGGCTGGGCTGAAGTCTGCTCTCCTGTCCTAAGAGCCCCTCTGTGCATTGACTGTTATTGCTACACGACGAGGCAGGATGGACTTATTTCGAAACACGAAACCTTCGCGAGTCCGCACCCTCTGCGCACGTGCAGGTACATGGTATCGACCGACGAACAACGCTCGCCCGGAACACGAACTACTTCCTCCATGTGTTTCCGTGTGTTGCATGAAACTCTTTGCACGGATTCGGTACGTACATTTCCGCTCGCGTTGACGCAATTATTTCTTGTGGAAGACGCTGATCATCGGCGTTCGCTTCACCACCATCGCGAGCTATCCTGCCGACGTTTTGTTCTTCGTTTCATGCCTTGACTTTTGCCACACACCTCTTGGTTGCATACAGTAGCAGGTCAACCCGCGAGGAGGACACATCCTCGTTTTGCTGCTTGGCCTTTTTCTGCAACCGTAGTGATTCGGTTGACAGCATTTCCTTCCATTGAATTAAAGCTGACGCTCATCTTCTTGTGGAAGGCGCTCTCCCTCACACACACCAACCCACGCATCCGTTGCCGTTGGCAAGGGACACTCCCTGCGCATCGCAAGCTACGCTGAAGTTTAGGCAGTCCATGATCGGTGGTGGCAACAGGGGGCGGCGGGGTAGAGCACCTCTTCGTTACACCGCCGCTCCCGCCCCTCAACGGCAAAACTTGAGTGATTCGTTTGACCTACATGCCCCAGAACGTGTGGCGCAACGGCAAAATTTGAAAGAAAAAGTGGTTCGTTTGACGTGCATGCCCCGGAACGTGTGGCGTGTGTCGAACGTTTAAGCACTCGTGTTGAGTGAGTCATTTTTTTCTTGTGTGTCGACAAATACTTTCGCTAACAACGTTATCAAGGGGAGAGGACTCAAATCAAGGCAAACGGAAAGAAAGCCATCTACCCCTATGGCATCTATCTATCTGTTCGCTACAGTACTTCCCAAAGCTCGCACGACTTGAACTCACACCAAAACACCCTCCATTAAACCGCGAAACAGACAGTGAAACGGCATCGTCGGAAAACACCGCAGGCCAGTAGAACACAATCACCCGATGGTTTGGTAAAGTACTTCAGTGTGTACAAGTGGGGAGACGGGTTGCAACGACAGGAAATAAATCTTGAAATGTACTGGTACGAAACAAGCAACCGCCTACAGGACCACCAACTACTTCCTTCGCGGATCAAACACGCCTTTGACCACCTCGCAGCAGCAACAAGCAGGCTGCTGGTTGGGAAGTACGAGCGACACGATGGCGGCACTGCTGCACTCACAATACACCTGGATCTCGGTCTTTCTTCTTTCTTTCGCGCAAAACAAAAAGAACGCCGTTTAGGTGGCTACCTCGCGTGTCTTTCTCGATTGAAAGAGCTTTTTGTACCGGTGACTTGTGTACACCAAAAGAATACCTGCTTGTACAACGCGAAACGTACATCGCGCGCTTCTGCCAAAAACACAACTCCAACCGGTGCAACACATTTCGGGCCAACAGAGTCCGCGCCCAATCTTGCATATGCTTCTAAAGTGAACCCGCACGGACGGGCCGAGCTACAAAACAAACACGGACTAGACGAAAAAAATTGTGAGCCAGGGAGGAAAAACACGGAATAATGATCATGAGCCTCTAGCAACGTGTCTAAAATAATACCCACACGGGCAAACAAGCAACAGAAGAACGTGCCACTTATGTGTCAAGCACATGTCCCGTCATTTCCCATTGCACACCAGAACCTTTCAGCCAGGCAGGTGTTAACTCTCAATATGGGGTAAAAACAAATATGATATAAAAAATATAAAGTATGGGGTATATACTGTACACGCTGTGAGACGGGACCTTCGTCGCGGGCCGTGCCTCCACCCCTGCGTAATTCGCTCTCTTCTCGCACAACGTCATGAAGGAAATCCACATTTATCACTTTTTCCTCCAAACCCTCAGGAGATTGCTGCTGCCACAAGCAAGGGCGAGCACACGCGGACAAATCGTAAGAGAGCGTAGACTGCTTCCTGCGTGCATGGAGCAGCCCAAAAGATACGCCACCTCTATCGGGCGGACACAATCGAAGCATGCATTCATACAAAACATCGTGCGAGATTCTGTTCAGAGAATATAAACACACCATCAAGCGCTGCCTCGCAGAGAGGTTGACTAAACATGCAGTTTTGACAAAATCACCACAAGCGCCACGGTACGACCTTCACTTGCGACGACTTTGCTTCCAAGCGTCATTCGCCAAAACCATGGACACCTCACACGATTAGCAATACAGAAAAAGAAAACAGGGAAATATAATCACGCCATTTCTACCTCACCACAAAAAAACAAGAAATGCTTGTCTGAAACGAACAAAAGTCCCTGTGCGGGCCGTTAGGGAGCGAAACGATTCCCCTCAATGACCTCGTCCACCTATAATAGCAGCCGCATTGTGTGTGGCAAGCGGAGGGGGAGAGGGCGTCTATGCCGAGAGGAACATACCACTTGACTCGGTTGCCGGCGCAATCACTCGACTTTGCCGTGGCACTCTGTTTGGGTTGGGTGGGTTGAGCTCCCGAAGAAGAGCAGAAGAGCGATGGTCTTCTACGAGAGCCAAGAGGTACCAGCGGCGGCGGCGGGCGGGTTGGCCCAAAGTGTTACGTCGGTAGAGGCCCCCCCTTTCGCTCCTCTTGCCGCAACGCAAAAACAAATGATCGACAAAATCAACATTACTCACATGGCGTTGCAGTATGCTTGCGCGCAACAACAAAAAAAATGTACACTAAACACGCACGCGCACAGCGGAGTTGACGGTTAAAAACTGCCTTCGCCGATCACACAAACAGGCACCGATCCCTCTTTTCTCTCCTGACCAAATAAAAAATCGCACAAACGGCGTCGACGAAAAGAAGCAGCAACGCCAAAACCACAGCAACGTGCGACACAACCAACAACGCGGGAAGAAAAAAAAAAACGGAGCCGATGACACACGCAAACGCACCCCCTCGTGCGACAGCAAAGACGACGCGAGGCAGCGACAGAAAAAAACACGGACTCCACGACACAACACCTTCTCCTCCTCCTCAATGGGGTTTATTCCCCTGGGCGTCCATCGACCTCGTTGCGGCCAGCTGCGGGGGCGCGCCTTTTTTGCTCGAGACGCCCATCCGGAGCGAACCCACCTTGCGGAGGGTGTTGAAGTCGTACCCGTCGAAGCTCGCCCGGTTCGCTCTTCTACCCTCCCTGCGGGCCGTACCAGCACCAGCACCAGCACCACCCCCCTCGCCGGCTGCCGCGTAAGACGCCGACGCCGGCGGCTTCAAAACAGGACCGCTACTGATGTCAGGCATGCTGTCGTCGAAGTTGTCTTCTTCTTCTCCGGTCGTCGAAGTTGCGCCAGCGCCCTCGGATTGGGCTGCTCCCTCCCCCGCCGCCTCCGCCGCCGCCTCTCCGTCTGTCGTCGGTCCCGCAGCAATCCCCAGCTCGTCCCCCAGCTTGTCCAGGCCGGCCTTGCTGTATCGGCCGCTGGGGCTGTCGTTGTCCAGGTAGTCTTGGGCTTCGCTCGAGGTCATGGCCGGCCCCGCACCCTGCATGCCTGGCCGTGGCGCGTCTTGTTGCGTGGCCTGCGGCAGGGGGTGCGGGGGGTCGGGGCGGTCTCTAGTAGGTTAGGCAAGAGAGCAACGAGCTCTCAGCAAAACACGTGGGACAAAAGACAAAGAGAAAAACGGCAGAATTCAACGAGGAAAAGATAATGGCCGGCTGAGCCAACAGACAATCCCGGGGGAGGAACTCAAGCCACCGAAAAAATATCATGACAAGGAACATCTACCACCCTTCTACAAGAATGCACTGAGGATGTGCCATACCCATCAAACATACCACGCCTTTGGTGTATGATATTCTTGATGCTGCTAGTATCACCGCCTTCTCAGCGAAAACGAAGAGGATCTCAAACAAACTGAAAAAAAAGACGAGAGAGCAAACAGGAAGACTCCCGGGGGGGGTTGTTGAAAGCAGAAACACAACACACCATCCACGTCCACGTCGCAAACTTGTCCTCCCGAGCCCCAGCATTCGGCGCAGACCGCATCGACGCCAGCCACCCCGGGGTGTCCGGGCCGGACAAGACGAAGGGCGGCGTCGAGTTGGCGATGAGCGCCCAGTGCACGCTGCCGAAGAAGGGGTGCCGCTTGATCTCGCCGACGCCCTTCCGCTGGCCCAACCGTTCGGTGGGGTCCTGCTCGTTCGGATTGGATTGGATTGGATTGGGCTCCGTGTTTGATTGTTGACTTCTTCGTTGTGGGTGGGTAGGACTGGAGAGTTGGAGAGTTGGAGAGTTGGAGAGTTGGAGAGTTGGAGAGTTGCAGCACATGTGGCTCTTGAGAGAAATCAAAATGACCACAACCAACCAGGTTTATACAATTCACACACGACCCGATTCCACATCCTATCGGCGACAAAAACGCGTGATTTCGTCGCAGGTGTGGCACCAAGATACCCACGGCACCAACCGAAGCAGCACGTTCAAAATACACACACTTCTCGTCGCTCTTTGCACCCCACACATTCTTCAAGCGTCACCCCCCCCCCCCCC